GCGTACCTTGATTAAAAAGTTGATTGGAGAGGGGAAAACATATAAAGAAGTGCAGAAAATGATAGGCTGCTCAGCTAAAATGATCGCAAATGCTTTAAAATGGCAACCAAAACCTGAAAGACGTGGAAGAAAGCGAAAAACTACCATTCGAAATGGATAGAAGAATAGCCAAAATGGCAAAGACTCAGCCAACAATCAGCTCCAGGAAGATCAAAGAAGGTCTAAAGTTACCTGTGAGTACTGTTACAATTAGAAGACGCCTATGTGAGCCAAGCTATCTGCAAGAAGCCCCCGCAAAGTCCCACTGTTGAAAAAAAGACATGTGCTGAAGAGGTTACAATTTGCCAAAGAGCACATTGACTGGCCTAAAGAGAAATGGCGCAACATTTTGTGGACTGATGAAAGTAAGATTGTTCTTTTTGGGTCTAGTGGCCGGAGACAGTTTGTCAGATGACCCCCAAACACTGAATTCAAGCCACAGTACACTGTGAAGACAGTGAAGCATGGTTGCGCAAGCATCATGATATGGGGATGTTTCTCATACTACGGTGTTGGGCCTATTTATCGCATACCAGGGATCATGGATCAGTTTAAATACATCAAAATACTTGAAGAGGTCATGCTGCCTTATGCTGAAGAGGAAATGCCCTTGAAATGGGTGTTCCAACAAGACAACGACCCCAAACACACCAGTAAACGTGCAACATCTTGGTTCCAGACCAACAAGATTGACGTTATGGAGTGGCCAGCCCAATTCCCGGATCTTAATCCAATAGAAAACTTGTGGGGTGACATCAAAAATGCAGTTTCTGAGGCAAAACCAAGAAATAGAGAAGAACTGTGGAATGTAGTCCAATCATCCTGGGCTGGAATATCTGTTCACAGGTGCCAGAAGTTGTTGACTCCATGCAACACAGATGTACAGCAGCAGTTCTCAGAAACAGTGCTTATACAACAACTAAATATTAATTAAGTGATTCAAAGGAAAGCAAAATCTTCAAACATTTTTCAGTTTATGTAGTGAATGTTTGAGTTTGTAAAGAAGAATATAAACACTGCTATTTTTTTTTTCAGTATAATATTCACTTTTCTTCAATTTATTTAGAGGAACAACACAAATTTGATATATTTTTCTCATGTTTTGATTTGGAATAGAATGTGTAGTGTTCCCAATGCATTTGTGTGTATGGAAATAAAAGCTATTAGAAGGATTTTGAGCTTTATTCATTTTTTTCAACACACTGCTATTATTTTGAACACAACTGCATATGGATACCACGTGTGAAACGTTTTCAGTGTTTGGACTGATTATGTATCGGACATTGTATCTTGTGTATGACAATAATCAACTAATTTTATCAAAACCAGTGAATTGTAATGGTTGTCTCTGTACAAGTGGTCAGAGAATATACTTTGGTGTAGTACCACCTATAGCAGTCCCCATTCCTTTAAGCTAAGCAAGCCGAGGCTATTGGTACATGACTGCCCTCAGGAATGCCATGTTCACTGGCCAGGAAGTGGAGAAGGCTGAAGAAAAGAACAAAAGGATTCTTGTGGTTCCAGGAAGGCAGTTGTCCGCAGGGGAAGGCTGGGACTAGTTTCTTGCCAGAACGTAGTCAATGGGACATGCAGATGGGTCAAGTTCAGGTGGCAGGCAAAGACATGTTTTGCAAACAGGCAAAGGATTGTTGGAGATAGCAGGCAGCAATATGGTCAATAAACAGGTCAAGGTCCATACATGTGGCAGGCAGAAGCAACACTATAGTAGTGTGGCAGTGATCAGAAGAGTGTTGCTGGCTGTACGGGCTCTGGTGACACTACTGATGTGATGGCAATCAGGAACACTGTTACCCACTGCACTGCACTGGTCAGGAGACAATGTCATTGGTGTGGTAGCATTCAGGAACACTTTTGATGGCTTACACTGGTCTGGCGGTGATCAGGAGCACTCTTGCTGGCTTAGACTGGTCTGGTGTGGTGGCGATCAGGAACAATGGCTTACAATGGTCTGGTGACACTAGGACTTGTGTGGCATCATTTGGAAACGTTGGTTTTGGCATACAATTATCTGGTGCCATCACAAGTGGTGTAACGTTGAAAAGGAACACTGTTGTTGGCATACACTGTTCTGGAGACACTGGGACTGGTATGGTAGTGATCAGGATAACTGTTTCTGGCTGCACTGGTGTGGTATGGCAGCAATCAGGAACACTAATTCTGGCTCCACTGATCTTGCAACCCTGTGACTGGGGTGGTGGTGATCAGAGACACTGTGACTGGCTGCAATATTAGGGCTTGTTCACACTTGAGGTTGGGGGATGGTAAAACCACGGTTTTACCACCCTTAACCTCTACCCCCTTTGCAGAGGCAGCAGCCAGGGGTGTGCAAATTTCACAGCTGCAGGCAGTGGCAGGAATTATACCCCTTGTTTTCAATCACCAAACTGGCGCATGTGCAGTGAGCACCCAGCTGTGAAGCTGCAAGCTGTGACATCCAGGGTGCCCACACTGAAGAAGCCGACACTGGGAACACAGGGCGGCCGGTGAAACGGGTTGCAGGGAGGACACCGGGGATCGAGGGACAGGTAAGTGTCTGTTTTTGTAGCTGCTGCCTTTTATTTATTTTTTTTTCACTGGGACTCCACTTTAAACTCAAATTTGAAAACAAGAATACAACTAAGTAGATTCTAGAAAAGAAAGGAATAGAAAGGAATAAAATAGAATAGAAAATAGTAGAGTAGAGAAGAATAGAGGAAAAATAAAAAAAAATTATAAAATATAATAAAATAGATTGCAAAAGAAAAGAATAAAATTGAATAGAATTGAAAGGAATAGAATCAATATTTTACAAGACAAAAGAAAATCAAAGAATAGAATAGAAAAGATTAGAATAGAAAATCAAAGAACTGTCACTGTACCAGCGCCCCATCAACATTTGCCAGTGTACCCCTGCACAAAAAACATCTCCAACAATGCAACAGCGCACAAGAAGATCTGTTACTGTGCACCACAAATCACTGTAAAATTGTACCAGTGCACAGAAAACTCGGTACTACTAGTGTCCCATCAACTTCCTTTCTGATTTTGAAAAGATCTTGATCGAATTCGAAATTCTAATTTTTTCCCCCTGATTTAAGCTGGCCATACACATGTAGATTTTCGGCCAATAATATTTGTAAGAAAAATCGTATGAAAATCCTTTGCAAATTTGATGAATGGATGAATGTTGTTCAAAAATTGTCTTTTGCTTTTAACATTCGATTTTAAAATGAATGTAATTTCTGAACGATAATCACATACACTTGCCGAAAATTCGTTTGATCGAGAAAAAAGTTTTCCCTTCCAGCCCTTTTGAATTTCTGCCACTGCTGTCGCAAACAAACATCGATTTGACCCCACTAAGGATTAGAAACTCAAATGAATATTTTTTAAACGAAAATTCTCGAATGAAAATCTGTACATGTATGGCCAGCTTAACTATTAGAAAATCAAATGAATATTCTTGAAACTAATATTCTCGGCAAAAATCTACATGTGTATGGCAAGCCTTAAGCTGGCCATACACGTTTAGATTTTCAGCCGAGAATATTTGTAAGAAATGTTGTATGAAAATTCTTTGCATATTCGATGAATGGACGAATGTCATTTGAAAATTGTCTTTTGCTTTTTTAACATTCAATTTTAAAATGAATGGAATTGCTGAATGAGAACCACATACAATGGCCGAAAATTCGTTGATCGAGAAAAAAAAGTTTTTCCTTCCTGCCCCTTTGAATTTCCTTCACTGCTGTCGCAAACAAACATCGATTTGACCCCACTGCGGTTGGAAAATCAGATGAACATTCTTGAAACTAATATTTTCCGATGAAAATTTACTACAGCTTAACTTTTCAAATTCGGTCGAATTTTTTTTTCGAATTCGGTTGAAATCTTTGATTTCGAACAACTTTTCGAATCTTGCTGAATCAATTTCGAATTCGATTGAACCAATTTTGAATGTAAACGACTTTTCGAATTTGGCCAAAATGTTTTCGAATTGAATTTGAATACGAATTACCGAAACAAATCTCGAAAACAAATTTACCGAATCCAACTACACAGATTTAGAATCGAAACTAAACAAATGTTTTTTGTTTTGCTCATGTCTATCCACAATGCCATATTCTATAAGGTCTGTAATTTTCATGATTCTCTCATTTTTCCTTCATTGTCTTACTACATTATAACACATGCCAACGCAATCAAAAGCATTTAAGTGCATGAATGGAAATGTTCAGAAAGCAGCAATGACAATATACCAACGCTTTAAAAAAAACATAAAAACAAAGCGAAAATCCTACTTTTATAAATTTAATCTAGCTTTGCTGGCCTTTTAAGGTGATAAATATACTCCCTAGAAAGATTAACCACTTCCAGAGGATTTCCCCCCCTTCCTGACCAGGCCATTTATTGCAATTACGGCGCTGCGTTACTTTAACTGACAATTGCGCAGTCATGCAAAGCTAAACACAAATTAAATTTACATCCTCTTTTTTTCCCACGAATTGAGCTTTCTTTCTGTGGTATTTGATTGCCTGTGCGGTTTTTAGTAAAAAAAAAAAAAGACAATTTTGAGAAAAAAAACAATATTTTTTACTTTTTGCTATTAAACATGTCCAGTAAAAAACATTTAAAAAGTCAAATTTCGTCAAAATGTATTCTGCTACATGTCTTTGCTAAAAAAAAAATCCCAATACGTTTAATTGGTTTACATGAAAGTTATAGCGTTTATAAATGGCAGTATATATACTGGGATTTTTTTATTTTTACTAGTAATAGCGGCGATCAGCAACTTATAGCGGGGCTGCGGCGGACATTCTGACACTGGGGGGAACTGACTTGGTGTCACTGACATCCCCATTGACACCAATACAGTGATGAGTGCTAAAAAAAAAAAAAAAGCACTGACACTGTGCTAATCGCACTGGGCAGGAAGGGGTTAACACGAGGGGTGATCAAAGGGTTAACTGTGTGCTGGGTGTGTTTTACTATGGGGCTGTGTCTGTGTGCTTCACTGTAAGCCATCCAAAGCAGTATGCCCGAGCTGACAGGGTGGAGAACTGTTAGTAAACAAAACAGTTCTCCTCCTCGTCGGAGATCCTCAGTAATCACAGGCCGGGACCCGGTGTTTTGAAAGCCGTGGCCGCAAATAGCGGCACAGGTAGGGTGTGCCCCTTACCTGGAAATGCCAAATCAAGTATATATACTTGATTTTGCGAACCCGTGCCGTCCTGTAGCAGTATATTTCTGCTATACGGCGGTCGGGAAGCGGTTAATAATATTAACATTTACACACATGAAGATCAGTATTTTTCAGTGCTGACAGGGTTACTTTAGTAAAAAAAAAAACAAACACAAAAAACCCCATAGTGCTTTAAGCATTAAAAAAAGAAAAAAACAGAGCAGCTATCCTTTAACATCAAATGATTCCATATCCTTCTAGCCAAAAATAGGACAGCTCAATATGAAAAATGATCAATAAATACAATTTCATAAATCATATGGAATCAAACAGAAAAATGTGCTCGTGCTTTTCCCCCCTCACTTCCATTTGTTTAGAACAGTGGTCTCCAAACTGTGGCCCTGGGGCCAGATGCGGCCCTGTACTTGGCTTTATCCGGCCCTATATTCCTCCCACAGCCACCAAGGATGGGGCATTGTTTCCTCCCACTGATCACCTCTTGAACCCCTAAAGTCAGAAGGACATAAAGCTGGCCCTTTGTGTAAGGGATAAGGATCGGAGAGCCCTGCATTATACAATGGACCTTTTCTAGGAATATTTGTGGGACGGAAAAATGAGGCTCTACTCCGTCATATGACAATGTCTAACCTTTTATTATGAAACAAAACAATCAACCAATCACAAGACAGATGTCAGCCGCTCATACTGGCCGTGTGTTCAGATAAAGCCGTGACAATGACAGGACTGGACTGAAGAGGGTTTAGAGGATAGAAAGTGGACCTGTCAGTAAATAAATCCCTGAAGGGTCACAATATACAGCAACAGGAAGCTGACAGGAGGACTACCTAGAGAAACACAAAGGTTTTGGTTTCAGATACACTTGATGGCTCTATCGCCCCTCCCCCTCTAACTCGCCACGAACGTCAGATCAAGGGCAGTAATTCTAACACTTGATCTCCTCTGTAAAAAATGGTAGCTTGTAAATCGTTGCCTATGGATATTAAAAACGTATGCAGTTTGTTGCCATTGCACAGGGCATGCGCAGTTTCAAGCATGTCATGTTTGGCATCTATTTACTTGGCATACCATCATCTTTTATATTTTACCAAGTAATTGGCCAATATATTGTGTTTTTCTGCATTAAAAGTAAAAAAAAAAAAGTATTTTTTTTCTAAAAATTTCATTTGAAAATCGCTGCGTGAGTACTATGTGACATAAAAAATTGCAGCACCCACTATTTTATTCACTAGGGTGTTTGCTTTAAAAAAAAATATATAATGTTTGGGGTTTAAATTAATTTTCTTGCAAAAAAATACAGATTTTTTTTCATGTGAACAAGAAGTGTCAGAAAAGGCTTGGTCTTCAGGTGGTTAGAAGAGTAAATTATGTGTGGCATAAATTTCTAATGCTGGGCCATAAAATGCCCCCACCCCCCAAAAATGACCCCTTTTTGGAAAGTAGACACCCCAAACTATTTGCTGAGAGGCATGTTGAATCAACAGAAGAATTTATTTTTTTACCACAAGTTTTTGGAAACGTTTTTGGAATTTTTTACAAAATTGTCACTTAAATGATTTATTGCTCACACATGCCATGGGTATATGTGGAATTACTCCCCAAAATACATTCTGCTACTTCTCCCGAGTTTGGGGGTACCACATGTGAGAGACGTTTTGGCAGTCTAGCCAAGTACAGGACCCCAAAATCCAATAAGCACCATCAGGCTTTTAAAGGGCTTTATTTCCTCATTACACTTCCTGACTACCTATCACAGTTTCGGAGGCCCTGAAATGCCAGGATAGCACCAAACCCCCCAAATGACCACTTTTTGGAAAGTAGACAACCCAAGGAATTTGATAAGAGGCATGGTGAGTATTTTGTAGATCTCGTTTGTTGCCAGAAGTTTTTGGAAAATGAAGAAAAAAAAAAAAACATTTTTTTTTTTTTTTTTTCAAAACCTTGTGAAAAAAAGAGATCTGCAAAACACTCACCATCAGGGGCGGACTGACAACTCATGGGGCCCCCGGCAATAGGGGATCATGGGGCCCCTGTGTCCTTGCCCAAACTCAAAAAAGCCTATGAAAAAGGTACCAGGGGCATCTCATGGGGCCCCCTACTGACCCCGGGCCCTCGGGCAGTGCCCGGGTTTCCAAATGGTCAGTCCGCCCCTGCTCACCATGCCTCTTTTTAAATTCCTTGGGGTGTCTACTTTCCAAAAAGGGGTCATTTGGGGAGGGGGGTTGGTGCTATCCGGGCACTTCGAAACTGTGATAGTTAGTGAGGAAGTGAAATGAGGAAGTTCAGGCTTTCAAAGTGGTCATTGGATTTCAGGCTCCTGTATGTGGCTAGGCTCCCAAAAAGTCTCACACACGTGGTAACCCCATACTCGGAAGAAGTAGCAGAATGTATTTTAGGGTGTAATTCCACATATACCCATGGGTGTGTGTGAGAAATATAGGTGAAACTCGAAAAATTAGAATATCGTGCAAAAGTTCATTTATTTCAGTAATGCAACTTAAAAGTGAACCTAATAAATGAGATAGACTCATAACATGCAAAGATAGTTGCAAGATAGTTCAAGCCGTGATTTGTCATAATTGTGATGATGATGGCTTACAGCTCATAAAAACGCCAAATCCACAATCTCAGAAAATTAGAATATTACATGCAATCAATAAAACAAGGATTGGACATAGAACAATATCAGACCTCTGAAAAGTAGAAGCATGCATATGTACTCAGTACTTGGTTTGGGCCCCTTTTGCAGCAATTACTGCCTCAATGCGGCGTGGCATGGAAGCTATCAGCCTGTGGTAATGCTGAGGTGTTATGGAAGACCAGGATGCTTCAATAGCGGCCTTCAGCTCTTCTGCATTGTTCGGTCTCATGTCTCTCATCTTTCTCTTGGCAATGCCCTATAGATTCTCTATGGGGTTCAGGTCAGGCGAGTTTGCTGGCCAATCAAGCACAGTAATCCCCCGGGTTTTGGTGCTTTTGGCAGTGTGGGCAGGTGCCAAGTCCTGCTGGAAAATGAAGTCAGCATCCCCATAAAGCTCGTCTGCGGAAGGAAACATGAAGGGCTCCAAAATCTCTTGGTAGACGGCTGCGTTGATCCTGGACTTAATGAAGCACAGTGGACCAACACCAGCAGATGACATGGCTCCCCAAATCAACACAGACTGTGGAAACTTCACACTGGACTTCAAGCATCTTGCAGTGTGTGCCTCTCCATTCTTGCTCCATACTCTGGGTTCTTGGTTTTCAAATGAGATGCAAAAGTTGCTCTCATCAGGACTTTGGACCACTGAGCAACAGACCAGGTCTGTTTTTCCTTTAGCCCAGGTAAGACGCTTCTGGCGTTGTTTGTTGTTCAGGAGCGGCTTGACAAGAGGAATACGACATTTGAAACCCATGTCCAGGATCCGTCTGTGTTTGTGGTGGCTCTTGATGCACTGACTCCAGCCTCAGTCCACTCCTTGTGAAAGTCCCCAACACTTTTGAATGGCCTTTTCCTGACACTCCTCTCCAGGCTATGGTCATCCCTGCTGCTTGTGCACCTTTTTCTTCCACACTTTTCCCTTCCACATAACTTTCTATTAATGTGCTTTGATACAGCACTTTGGGAACATCCAACTTCTTTTGCAATTACCTTTTGAGGCTTTCCCTCCTTATGGAGGGTGTCACTGATGGTTTTCTGCACAACTGTCAAGTCAGCAGTCTTTCCCATGATTGTGATTCCTACTGGACCAAACTGAGAGACCATTTAAAGACTCAGGAACCCTTTGCAGGTGTTATGGCTTAATAACTGATTACAGTGGGACACTTTGAGCCTAGAATATTACACCTTTTCACAATATTCTAATTTTCTGAGATTGTGGATTTGGGGTTTTCATGAGCTGTAAGCCATAATCATCACAATTATGACAAATCACGGCTTCAACTATCTTGAATCAATGAGTCTATCTCATATATTAGTTTCACCTTTAAGTTGCATTACTGAAATAAATGAACTTTTGCACGATATTCTAATTTTTCGAGTTTCACCTGTATATCATTTAAATGACCACTTTGTGTAAAAAAAAAAAAAAAAAAAGTTTTTGTCATTTTCCAGAAACTTGTGGAAAAAAAAAATACATCTTCCATGGACTCAATATGCCTCTCAGCAGATAGCTTAGGGTGTCTACTGTCCGAAAAGGGGTCATTTGGGGGTGTTTGTACTATCCTGGTATTATAGCACCTCAAGAAATGTGATAAGCAGTCAGAAAGTAAAAGCGGTGTAAATTCCTTTATCTATACCATAGTTTGTAGATGCTATAACTTTCACACAAAGCAATAAATATACAGTTGTGTTCAAAATAATAGCAGTATGTTGAAAAAAAAAGTGAATAAAGCTCAAAATCCTTCTAATATCTTTTATTTCCATACACACAAAATGCATTGGGAACACTACACATTCTATTCCAAATCAAAACATGAAGAGAAATATATCAAATTTGTGTTGTTCCTCTAAAAAATTGAAGAAAAGTGAATATTAGACTTTTCAAACAGTTTTTTCAGTTTATATAGTGAATGTTTGAGTTTGTAAAGAAGATACAAAACACTGCTATTTTTTTTGAAGATTTTGCTTTCCTTTGAATCACTTAATTAATATTTAGTTGTATAAGCACTGTTTCTGAGAACTGCTGTACATCTGTATTGCATGGAGTCAACCAACTTCTAGCACCTGTGAACAGGTATTCCAGCCTAGGATGATTGGACTACATTTCACAGTTCTTCTCTATTTCTTGGTTTTGCCTCAGAAACTGCATTTTTGATGTCACCCCACAAGTTTTCTATTGGATTAAGATCTGGGGATTGGGCTGGCCACTCCATAACGTCAATCTTGTTGGTTG